GCCCGCTGCCGCTCCTCCAGCGCGCGCTTGTGCTCTGTGGCCTTGTCCATCTCCGCGTGGCTCAGCGCCTCCGTCACGTTCCTCCACAGCCGCCTGGAACCCAACCCGCACGCCTCAGCCACAGGCTTTCTCGGGGAGAATCACGGGGTGGGGTGCAGGCCCCCGACCGTGCGGTGACCCGGGACACCCCGTCCCAAATCCCAAATCCCAAATCCAGCTGCGGCTGTGGCGATGGCGAAGTCTCTTTAACAAAGTAACGTGTACCTTTCCAAGTTACAAAAGCAAAATTTTCATTTATGAGAGACTTAGAAATTAACAAATAAAATAGAACATCAAAAGAGTTGAAATGTAAGAGCCCGAGGAAATGAGAGGCTAGATTCACTCTCCCACTTCAGCTGGGAAACCAGACAGAACGCAAGGAAATCTCCAGACATGCGGTGCAGGGTTGCAAGCCCAGCTCCTCAGGAGGCTGAGGCAGGAGAACTGCTAGTTTGAGGGCAGCCTAAGCAACAAAAGTCTAAATCTCAAAAAATAAGATGGGCTGGGGCTATAGCTCAGTGGTATTTGCCTAGTTTATGGAGCCACCCTGGGTTCAAATCCCAATACCACAAAAAATCAACCCAAAACACAATGAACCAATGGCTTTCAGATACGGATCAAAAAGATGATGCAAGACAAGCATCTTTGAGAGAAGGAAAGGGACTCGGGCTCCTGTGAGCGCCTCAGCCCACTGCCTGGGAATTTGCAGCCACTCAGCAGGGAGGGAGACACTCCAACCTTGCAAAAAACTTTTTTTTTTTTTTTTTTTTTTTTTTTTTTTGGTACCATGGATTGAACGCAAGACCTGGTGCTTGCTTGCGAGGCAGGTGGCAAAACCAGAGCTAAATCCCCAGCTACACAGCAAATTTTTGAGGATAGAACAATCTTTTCAACAAGGGTGCTTAACGACCTTAGACCTCTGAGTAGGACCACACACAGAAGTGAGGTCAAAAAGGACCACAGATCTGTGTTAAGGGCTGTCACCCTTAGAGGGAGCCACAGGAGAAAGCCTGAGGCTGTGGGAGATTTCTCAGATACAACACCAAAACTACATCCATAAAACCATTGACAATCAAGCCTACCACATCAAGATTAAAAACTGAGCTGGGCATGGTAATCCCAGCACTTGGGAGGCTGAGGCAGGAGGATCACCATGAGTTCAAGGCCAGCCTGAATTACACTTTGAGACCCTGTCTCAAAACAACAAAAACAAAAAGTCAAGGAGTGTAAATAAGACAGTCCTTAGAGGAAATATGAAGCATGAAACATTTAGAAAAGAAGGAAGAACCATGATGGAAACACTAGGCGCCTCACTTGCCCATTCTGGTCTGGAAGTTGTCACTGTACCATGGCAACATCAGCTGTGGACTTACCTGTCTGCACAGAAAACGTTTTCTGACCCCTCATGTAAGCTTCCACTTTGAGTAACTGTTAACAAATAGCAAACAACGGACCAAGTAGGAAATAAAAGCAGAAATCAATGAAAGAGAAAACAGAAAAAAAACAAAAGCAAAAGCAATGAAATGGAAAGGTAGTTCTTTTGAGTGAAGGTACTAAAAATTAACTGAAAATTAATTAACAGACCAGACCTTTAACCACACTGATGAGGGGAAAAAATATTTCCAATACAAGGCATGATTGTGGGGCCATCACCACATAGCCTATGCAGATCGAAACAAAATCAGGTAATAATATGAACTACATGCCAATAAAATGGATACAATAAATAAGCAGGTCCTTGAAAGACAAACTACCAAAGCTCACTCAAGAAGAAATGGAGAGGGCTGGTAGTGGTGGTGCATGCCTATAATCCCAGCACTAGGGAGGCTGAGGCAGGAGGATCCCTGTGAGTTCGAGACCAGCCTGGGCTACATAGTGAGTTTCAGGTCAGTCTCAACTACATAGTGAGACCCTGTCTCAAAACAACAACAACAACAACAAAAAGAAATGGAGAACCATAACAGCCCTATGAACTAAAGATACTGAATTTGTAGTTAACAACTGTCTTCTAAAGGAAACTACAGAGCAATATCCTTCATGAATACAGATGCTTGTGGAAAAAAAAAAAACCACCCTTAACAGGGCTGGGGATGTAGCTCAGTGGCATGCAGCTGCCTCATTAGTGCAAGGTCCTGAGGTGGATTCAAGGTATCACAAAAAAAAACCTAAAAAAACAAAATTCCTTAACAAAATTTTAGCAAACACAATTCAGCAGCAGCAACTCTTTAATGCCTACTTTAATAACAGATTCTTTTATCTGTTTCTACTTTCAATCTGCTGTGATATACTGCTTGTTTTGCTTTGTTTCTCCCGAGACAGGATCTCACTGTGTAGTTCAGGCTGTCCTTAAACTCACTATGTAGCCCAGGTTGGCCTGAAACTCTCAGTGATCCTTCTGCCTCGGCCTCCTGAGTGCTGGGATTACAGGTGTGCACCACTGTACCTGGCTCTGATATATACCACCACCTACCTGTTCAGAAAACTCTTTACTTGGGAAGTAAGTTCATGGTGGTAGACAAATTTTCCACACTTCTGATTTTGCCCTGGCACTCAAATTTATTCTAAATCACAAACACCATACCTAACTTTTCCTGAAGCGCTGCATTTCCACGTCCTGCCTGATCTTGGAACCTGCTACACTGTGCTTGCTAGAAAGCTGGGGGCTTCCTCTTCCTCGCTGGCTTCAGGAGTGCTAGGTCTGATTATTTAATGTTATCTGATTCTAACCATACTCAAAGGTTTCCCACTTTCTCAGCGGGCGCTGAGGCCGTCCTGCTTCTGTGAACCATCCCTGTGTACTGAGCGTGCTTTCCCGCTGCGCACCCTGGGTTCACTAATCACTGCTGACAGTGGTGATCCTCCGACTCTGGACGGTTTCTGCTCACTCTGCAGAAGGCATCAGAGTGGGCGGCCCCTCTGCCGAGGCAAACGGGTGACCAGCCTGCCCGCGGTCAGCTGGGAAGGCCGGCGGGTGGAGGCCCACGTACCTGGACTCAAACGGGTCCTGCTTCTCCAGGGGCCTGACTCGCTTCCTTGTCACCGCCAGCCTGGTCAGGTCCACGCACTTGGTCTCTCCATTGCTGTAGGTGAACTCCAGGACGCTGTTCCACTCTCCCTGCACCCTGCACACCACGGTGTTGCTCGTGTTGTGCTTCACTTCCGCGGTGACCCTGGGGGCAGCGGAGAAGAAAGGGCAGCTGTCAGTCATACTGGGCTGCCTCACAGCTTTCCGACCACAATGCTCTGCAATTGCCAGTGCCCAAGTCAGGTTCCTTTTACAGCTCCCTAGAGATTTTCTTCTTTCAAAGATCAACTTTAATCTTTGGAAAGAACTCTAGGTTTCTGGGTGTGGTGGCTCCAGAACTCGGGAAGGCAGGGGGATCACAGGGAGTTGGAGGCCAGCCTGGGATACAGAGTGAGACCCTGTCTCAAAAAACTAAACAAAAAACCAAAAACCACAACCAAAAAGAAAAACCAAAAAACACTAGGCATAAAACTAGATAGAGACTTCATCGTCAAAAACCAAAGTGTTTTTTAAATATTTTCTTTCGGTACCAGGAATCAAACTCAGGACCTCGCACTTGCCAGGTAGGTGCTATGCTGCTGAGCTATGTCCCTAGCTTTTAATATTTTCTTTATTAGAGCCTAAAAATGATCTAACAGTACAATTTTTTTTACTAGTCTTCTTTATTTAAAAGTGAGCTCGCCAGGTATGGGGGCACATGCCTACAGTCCCAGCACCCAGGAGGCTGAGGCAGAAGGGTTCAGGCAGGAGAAGAGCCATGGGTAGGGCCCAGGGATCTAGCTCAGTGGTGCTGCCCCTGCCGCACAAGCACAAAGTCCTGAGTTCAATCTCTGGTACTGAGAAAAAAAAAAAGCCATGAGTAAGATTTCACTGCACAGGAATCAAAGAAATGTGACCTGTGCACCATTAGTCACTCTGACCCTCAGCCACGGTACAGCAGCGCTGCACGTCTGTCAGCCCAGCACTTAGAAGGCTGAGGCAGGAGGATCACTGTGAGACCAAGGGGCAGAGGGAGTGGGAGGAAGGGGCTGCCCCGCACTGAGTGCTGGCTGGTAGTAATCTCCCGACGCAGTCAGACCCAATCAGGCGGCAGCAGCAGCATGGCCAAAGCAGCATGCACCCAGTAGCCAGCGGCTCTGAGCCCAGCCCATTGGAGAGGCTGGCGTACTGGGATCAGCACAATGCGAGCAGTGAGCAGAAGCACAGAGCGAAGGATGAGCCCTGCCGCTGCCTTCCACAGGGTAAAAGGCGACTGTTCTGACACCTGGTGGTTCTGCTTAGATGTTCTACTGAGCTAAATCCCAGGTCCCAGATGATCCTTATTTTAAAAAATACTCATTGCTTCAGTGTTTTGAAATCCTTATTTTTAAAGGCTCATTCAACGCCTCAGTGCTAAACAAGCTTTCTCTCCACTTTTCAGGATGCCGGTCCTGGAGTAAGGAAGTAATGTAGCTGTGTGCAGTTCACAGCCTCCGAGACCACTGAGCGTATGTATATTCCGATTTAACCACTTGAGTGCTTTGGCAGCTGAGAAACACCACGCCTAGGACTGGCCCGATAGAGGCCCATAATACAGCCACCGACTACAGTCCAGTCGCACTGCATGTCATCGTCACAAACTGAAAGCACAGGGGCCGGCGATTTAGCTCAGTGGGTCTGCCGCCTGCCTCCCAAATGTAAGAATGTAAGGACCCAAGTTTGGTACA